CACCGTCGCCGGTACCCTGCACAAAACAAACAAGCTGCTCTCGGTACAACCGCTGCGCGCCCGATACCAACCAGAAATTGGCGACTTGGTCGTAGGACGCATAGTGACAGTGGGAACAAAGAAGTGGAATGTGGACATCGCAGCACCAATGCACGCAAACCTGCCTTTGTCTAGTATAAATCTGCCCGGTGGAGTGCTACGACGAAGAACAACCGTAGATGAACTGAATATCCGGACCTTCTTCCAAGAAGGCGATCTGCTCGTCGCCGAGGTACAGAGTCTGCACCAGGACGGCACCGCCTCCCTCCACACGCGATCGCTCAAATACGGGAAACTGCGCAACGGTCTGTTCACCAGTTTGAGTGGCGCTGGAGGTGGCATATTGAGTCGCAAGGGTGGCGTTGTGAGGAGCAGACGGCAGGTCTTTACGCTGAACACGGCGGCCGGCGAGATCGACATTGTACTTGGCGTAAACGGTTACATTTTCATCAGCAAGCACATCACAACAAATGCTGATCCAAAGGAGATGGGCATCAACCGACTGGACGAGAGTGTGACTGAGACACTGTATTCGAGCCAAAACGACGACATCGAACCGCCAGTCATGCGGGAGATAACTAGGGTCAGTACCTTGATCAGGGGGTTGGTAGCATGTGGCGCCAAAGTGGATGAGGATACAATTGTCAAGGTTTACGAGGGCGCAGTCGAGCTTGAAGCTGAGGAGCAGAGCCTTGGTGGTGTGGAGAGGGGAATTGGTGCCAAGGGCGTTGTAGAAGCTGTGCTCGGACGATTGGAGGTTGAAGCCGCCGGCTGAAGATGAGGGCGAGGGCGAGGCATCCATATATCGAGCAGGAAAGGTTGAAACAGCATGTCATGCTGCTTTCTCAAGCAGCGAGACCATACGACTCCGCATCTCGCATCCGACGGGTCGCCAGCGGGTGGCAGCTCAGACCATCGCGCTGCAACAAGTAGCTAGCAGCTACTCACATAGCGAAGTGCACACCAGTCACGCACGGCAACCAGCAATTCAAAGGTAGTCATTCATGCATTTATCATCGCGCCACAAGTGCGTGACGTGTCATAATCGTATATGTAAAACAATGGCCCCATATACTGGAAGCGAGAGAAGAAATCCGTAAACAAACAAATACCGAGAGTCTGTAAAATCGCCTCGTTAACCTTCCATAACCAGCACGCCCTCCCTTTCCAATCTTCTCAAGCTATCGATATCACCACCAGCTTCTATTACAGCCTTCACCGCCGCGCGGCTAAGCTTCCGTCGCTTGTCGGCGGCTTCTTTCTCCCGCCGTGCTTTAGTTTTGCTGGATCCGCTGGGTGCCACGCCTGTGAGAATCTTACGGCTGTCATCTGGCGTGAAGTTCACGAAACCAACTCCACCATTACTTGTGCTCATCTGCCTCGAGGATTGCTGGGAAGTGTTGCTGGATTTGCGTCTCATTGACGACTGGCTGGTGCGGTGGCTAGATGCGTGTGACGACCGGTGAAAGCGTGTTTCGGCGCGTGGCGAAGGAGAGCGCGAGACTGACTGACTGATAGGGGCGACGTGGTGTTGCGCATGATGATGTTGCTGTTGGTGAGACGGCGTATTGTACATGACACCATAGTTAACCATGTCAAATGCAGCCGAGTTTATGGAGGCAGAAAAACCATCGTGCATAGTGCCAAAGCCGTACGGAGCCGATCCGCAAGATATTCCCAATCCTTCCGATCTCATGTTCTGGCTTGTGGATAGTGAGTTGCTTTGGCTGAAGCTGGTCGAATGGAGAGGGTGACTGGCGGAAACGTTCCCATCCCACCAGCCTGTAGTTTGTTTGCCGTCGGTAGAATCACACGAGGCTGAGAAGTCAACATCCAGAGCTGATGATGTGTTTGGGCCCCACGTTGTCATAGATAACTGGAGAGAAGAGGGCGGGGTCTGCAAGGCTGAGAGAGCCGCACTTGGCGCACTGGAAGAGCTAGAAGTGAGCCCCGTATCATTATCGAAGCCGCTACCACTGATGCTAGGGGTTCCAATTGCTGGCGATGCGCAAGGTGTCAATTGGTAATTAAGGAAGCCAGACCCGTTGTTTGGTAGGTCAGAATAGTTATCGGCATAGGTCTGATAATGCCCTTGGACGAAAAACTCATTGCTTTCGGCCTTGGTTGATAGCGGGGGCGAAGCAATGCCATGTGATGAGGCTCTTGTGAATGAACTCGTTGGACTGTCCGTCTTGCGGGTCCACGTATTGCCAGCTGAAGGCTGGTGTTGAGAGGATTGCATCATCTTTGTGAAAGTCGAAGCATGCAACCTTTTAGAGGTCTTTGAGATACCACGGTGCCTCAGTTGATTGTATATCGATACAGCCTTTTTAACAGATCGTCCGGAAGTGTGGGGTCGAGTTGTAGGAGGCTGAGAGACGGACCTTGATTGCTTCCTTTCTAGTTCAAAGAAGTCGTCAAGGTTTAGCAACTCAGAATCGCTGAAAGGTTCGTTACCAGTAGACGAAGTAACGTAAGAAGATGAGATAGAGTCCTCAGCTCGCAACGGGGTTGGGTTTTGTTCGTACTTTTCGAGAGCCTTGTGCCAAGCAGCCTGCGTTTCCCGATCAAGTATAGGCTCAGAGCCAAAAAGCTGGCTCTCATTCGACAGAACTGGGTCAAAAAGATGCTTTGGTTCACCTAAGCTTGATTGTTTGGGGTTGCAATCGCCGAAGTGATTGAGCAAGTCTGTTTGAACATACTCTTCGAAGAGACGGTCTAGATCGACCACGTCAACCTCTTTATCGCTGGTGGGCCGCATTGGCATAATTCCGGTAGGGTGTTGGTGGATAACGATACTGTGCAGTAAACCTCTCACGTGCCTGCGTGTTGTGTTCAGGAAGTGGCTAGGTAGGTAAGCGAGGATTGTCGCAGTTGGTAGTAGAACAGGCGATGAGAGTAACACGGTACTTGTACCTTACTGGTAAATGTGCTTTAGTGGTTGCAAGCCCACGGGAGCAATTTCTGTAACGTGCCAATGATGCCTCATAACAAACGTGGTGAACAAACCAGACTAGAGACATTCAACTCTGCACCCAAATATGGCAGAGCACCTTGCCCGCCATCTCCTACTCGGTGTACATTCCAGCTATACTTAGTGTACTAAGTCGAACCGGGCTGACCCAGGGTTGGAATGGGGCATGACCAAGCCCCAACCCTTTCGTTTCAAGTACTTTTGAGGCGTCGGCACCATTTAGGTCCCGAACATTATGAACTTGCGACCGGGGCATTTGGATATTTAGTGACGACAGGAGGTGCGTGCTCATGCAGGCATATACTGGACGTTGGGTTATTTTCTTTGGAGGCGTCGTCCATACCGCAGGTACCCGTTACACGACAATCGATTTGTAGATGAGATTCTTTGTTAGTTCATCTCTTTGTGTATGCCGAAGTTTGACCTGACCGGCGAGGTAAAGAGGCCGCACGAACGGTGGTTTCAGAACCAACGTTTGAAGTGCCTGTGCAGCTGCATGAGTTGTAAAGGTAAGGCTGTTGATCGAGTCCCGTGAGTTACGACATCTTCATACCAATGAGACAGTCCCAACACCTCAACTACCGAGGGTCTGGAACTCGGAATTCACGCATGTTGCAAATAGTTCTTAGTTAGCAGTACCCATCCACGCTGAGAGTCTGTAAGACGCAGACTGACACTTAGGTGATGTGAATGAGAATCGGAAGTGACAGTGAACGGTAGTGGAGTCACAGGACGTGACTAGTTCAGAGTACAGGAGCGTAGACGAAGGATACCTGGGTAACTGGGTTAGGTATTTTCGTGCAAGGCGTGAGTCAAGGACAGTTTGATGCGCGTTGCACATACTAGGAGCGAAAGAGAACCAAACATGCGCATCGACCTTGACGGCGAGGTTTCAAATTTGCTAGGGCCCGGGGGTGAGTTGATCGTCCATCATGAAGGGTGCACAACAGCAGAAACCAAAGCGCCGTGACGCTGTTGGGCCTCGCTTTTGTCCTCACTAGGTCGTGACGGCATTGTCTTCTGTCTCATGTAGTTCGATTAGCCCTATGGCATGTGACCGATGGATATCTCATGTCACTTTCAGGAAGTTACCGAGGAGCTATGAGAGGCAGCAAAAACATCTGGTGGCGATGATGATGGTGGTGGTGGTGATGGTACGAGGACGCGTTCACGATACCCAGCAGTTGCCCAGGTGTGGTGTTGAGGCTTGTGCACGGCTAGTTTAGCGTGTTGTGGATCTGCCGTTCGCAGGTCTCAGGGCATGACGACTGCACCAACGCGACGACGATAGCACCTGTGGCTTGAGCGTCACCATCTTAACACGATATTTCTGTCAATAGTTCACTTGCCATCGAACAATGGATCCCGACGCGCCCGTGGCCAATGAGCCTCAACCTTCCGTCTTCCGCTGGATCATAGGCTTCCTTATGGTTGGCGCGTGCTGGGGACTCACGACGCCGTTCATGCGAAAAGCTGCTATGTAAGCTTGGGTGTTTATTACTTTCTGCTAGTCCTTCCTTCTCTCGCAAGCCTAGTACATTGCCTGACCAGCAAGCTGATACGCATATACCAGGAACTACACTCCGCCGCAGCGTCCTGCCCTTACTGACCCGAACAACTCATGGCTTAAGAAAAAGGTACTTGGGGTACTATATGCAGTTATAGGTGTCCTGAGCCGACCAGCGTATGCGGTGCCGCTATTATTGAACGTCACTGGCAGTGTATGGTTCTTTATATTGATTGGTAAGGCGGAGTTGAGCCTCACGGTGCCAATCACGAACTCGCTCGCCTTTTTGTTCACCGTACTAGGGGAGTGGTGGGCAGAGAAGAAGGTCATTAGTAGAGGTACGTTGTCTCTCTGCTCTGCCACGGGACGAAAACTAACAATACAAAGACACATGGATTGGCATGGCCTTTGTACTTGGTGGTATCGCGTTGTGCGTCCAGAGCAAATCGTGAATTGTCTATCAATATTGCTACAGACCAGCTACCAGTCCTTCGCAAGTCTGTTTTCTGCGTCCGTCGCGGCCTTTTCCTGAAATAGCCTTGAGAATCCTTGCTCAGGCGGTTGCAGCCAATTCCTCTCGTCATACCTCTCCTCGCCCTCAATCACATGGAACGTGTAAATATTCCGGCTTTTGTTGCTGGTGTTCTTCTCGCTCTTGTGCAGGATGTTGCCATGGATAAGGACAAGAGTGCCAGCCTTGACCTCACCCATGTCGTACCTCTCCTCCTTCTCGACCATCTCGTACTCCTTCTCGGCGTTTGTCTGGTGATTTATACTCTTTGGAAACTTGGCACCCTCATTGTCAATGAAGCCAGTACCATTGCCCATCCTGACGAATCTCTTGTCAATAGCAGCACGTTTATGACTCCCAGCAGCGAAGCTTAGGCACCCGTTCTCCTGTGTCGCATCCTCGAGTGCATACCACCAGCCAACTGCGCTCGGCGGGTCCGTATACAAAAAGGTACTATCTTGGTGTGGCGGCACTGCACCGCCTATCTCAGGCTGCTTGCAGATAACCATAGATTGCAAAACACGGGGATCGCGGAACCCGAGCGAGGACGCAATGGCGGCATTGCGGGCGGAAAGGGACATGCTGCGGAACGAAGGCGAGAGCTCGTGGAGGGAGTGGCCGATCTTGTTAATGGCGCGGTGTTTAGGTTTGGTCAGTGAGCCAGACTTGTCGAAGGCATCTGTTCGCGTGTCAGCACACTTGCCATGGCTGCGGATTGCCTTACATACCCTCTTCGAAGAAGAACCGTACCTTGTCACCGGACTCCAGGAAGTAGCTGTCTCCAACGTGGTCCGCGCCGTCGTCGCCGCCAGTCGAGAACTTGGTCATGGGATGGTCATCGAGTGAAAAGTCGTTTAGCATATTGTTTGTGTCTTCCAGCAACTGCTTGACCGTGTCTTGCGACAGCGCATCAGGTATCAGTAGATAACCATTCTCGTTGAAAAAGGTTAGTTGTTCGGGCGTGAGCCCTTCTGCGGTGCGCACAGTCATGTTCGGGTGAAGTTGGGAGGGTCAGTACGCGATGGCTTGTAAAGCTCCCAAATGTCGATTGCGCAAGAATGACTGTTATTCTGCCGTCGTGTTCAGGCCGTCAGGAAGCTTCGGAGGTGGCCGTGAACTAGCAAGCCGCCGCCGCCGTGTGCTGCTGCTGCGCTGCGCTGCCCCGCGGCTGTCCCGCATTGTCGGATCTAATTCCGTTCCGAGCAACCTCGGAATCCCAGGACGCGTCGTCCTCATCCACGCCCCTACACCATCGACACCAACCACCATACATGGTAATCCGAGAACCCGGCCATAGGTCCTCCGACCTGTAGTGGCATGAAACGATAGCTCGGCATACTGACTCACTTGGCGCAGTGAAGAGGCACGGCTGTTGCATGACATCAACGTTATGCGACTTCTACCCTACGCTGCAGGCTCTAAACGTGGCCATACACTATCGATCTTTCGAGGGATAAGAGACGATTTTGCCAGAGTGCAAGAGAATGAGGTGTCCGGTTGTGCAACTTCTGAAAGGCTCCCCCAGGCCGCGAATTGGTACGCAATGACCTTCATCGTCTCCGCGCAACTATGACCCTTGCATATGCGGCTCTTGCAACCCTGCGCATCTGTTCTTTCCGCGAGAGGGGAGACGAAGAGTCTGACATGCTGATGGCTGAAACGACACGTGGTGGCTCAGCGGGTTCCTGGCTGCGCGCAACCTGCCCTTTCACCTAGCCATGCACAACATAAGACTGACGGGCGCTTGGACACGCCTTCAAGCTGAAGAAGAAAAAAGACTCTACGCTCATCTTTGACTGCCAAATACCTGATGGTTCGAAACAATAGTGCTCTGGCCATATCGGTAGTTGTATCTCTGAGAACCCACTGTCTTTGGCAGTCTGAGCGGACAGAACAATGAAGATGCGATGAGCACGCGTTGGTCAAAACTTATGGCATAGGCTGTCTGTTCCGCATATTCGCTAGTACTGCGCCACTCCCTCACATGCACGCTTACATATTACCATGGTTCTCTACATCTAGCCAAATTGGCCTGGGGTCAAACGACTCGCGGTATGCAGCAACCGATACGTCGCCCTCGTGATAGATGCAAGAATAAAGAGTATGTCTGATGACGCTGTTTAGCTGGCGTGTTTGATCCGCCCTTGCCATCGCTATAAACACAACAAAGAACCTTGACTCACGAGTTGCACACCCGACTCCAATATTTTACGACGAAACTATTACGAAACTATTAAAGGATTCTTCACTTTGGCGACCGAATTCTCCAACCAGTCGTCGGATTGATGAAGGTGTACGAACCGGGATTCTACCAACCAGTTCCAATCACGTTTACATCCTTGACTCAAAGCTAGAGGACGACGACCTCCTATCAAGTCACCTATTCTCGAGGCCACTTCGTTAAAAGCCGCGGTAGCTCCCATAACCCAACCATCGATATATGGGAATGCAAGCAAGTGCAAGTATTCAAAGTATTTTAACAACCGAGGAATAAGGGTAGCTCGTATTTGATCGATCTATGCAATCGCAAGACTCGAAGTTTCGACTGTAAGATCCTTCTCGATTTTGACCACGATCAGTCGCTATCCAATAACAATTGTGTGCTTACAAGCGGCTAAAAACCTCTACCCTTCGAGGGTGGGGTTAAAAACACATTGCGAGCACCGTCCAACGCAGGAACCCAATCCGATGTATGCTTGAGCCGAAGCGTCTTATACACGCCAAGATACCAACTCGACATATACAATGATGATGTGGATAGTCGTGGTTTGGGATATGCTAAAGGCTCAGGCTATGCACATGCTCAGACTTGCGTTTCCAGATCCCAGCACGGTACTATGTAACGCCTCTTTGTTATGAGCATTCTGTGAGCTTTGAATTCGCAATGAGAACTTGATAAGCTACAATGCATACCAGGTCACGTTCGAAACATCACTCAGGAGTGCTTACAGCGACTGGACAAATCACGTGGACGGGCCGGGGCACTCTCAAGTCATATGTAAGCTGACAAAATGCGGCAGTCCGGAGCTTCACCGGCCGAGCCAGGCGTACCGCAGCCAAGATGTCTGATACGAGACGCCCGGCATCGAACATTCGAAGGATTTAGGGCGAGGTCGTGCTGGCGTATGCGAGCCGGCTGAGTGGGCGGGCGATATGCAAACTAAGAAGCTCGAGTAACTAGACACCGTGTCACTCTGCATAGTTCGGTGTGCACTCTATGCGCGCGGTGATATGATTGTGGAACACGGGCGATGTTTTCTACTAGATAACGCAGGATTTCGATGACCGAGCGACCTATCATCGCAATTGGTGGCGCTAGCGAGTGCGCTAAGTCGTAAAGTCCTACCTCGAATATCCCACGCCGACCACGGCGGGCGTCAGACTGCATGACTTCAGGAACAGGGCCCTGTGACTATTGGCTTGTCGTTCCCTTTCAGCTGTCGATTACCCTCAGATGGTTTGCGATTTCTCCTTTCATGTTACGAATATGATTTGACACCGACAGATGGATGGGCAATTTTCATGGCTGACAATGTCTTGTCGTTATTCCTGAACATCTAGACCCAAGTTTTTGAGACATTCCTATCCGCACAAGCTTGGGGTCAAGCAAAGGAGTAAGCCTGGATGCGGGTAAGACGCCGTCTACACCAGGCTAGCCATATACGGTAGATTACCGCGTGGGTCTTCTTCTCTAGACTCCCAAGTGTTTAGTCTCCAGAGTGCTAACTATCGAATCACTACTGTTTGCAACAGTGGCTCTTCTCACGGTGCCGGTGGTTTGGGATATTTGGAGTGGAGAAGGGCCGCCCTCATGCGTGACCTAGTATGCCCCTTACGAAGTTGGACAAACTTGCCACTGATCAAGAAATGACCTTCCGAATATACCCCCTGCTCCGGCTCATGGGGCGTTTGCGCTTGCGTTGAGTCTGCATGGCGTGGAGCTGGGAGTCTCTGATCATCAGATCAGTACGTAACATCGTACAATTGCCTAAATCACGACCGATTCCACATGTTGTGTGTAAAAATGCTCATTAATCGCTCGCCCGCCCGCCCTTATAACAACCATCCCGAGTTCCCCAACACGCTGTTGCATATCAATTCCACAACCGGTCCTGTTATTCCTGAGTAACAATGCACTTACGAAACCTCGTAACTTGAGTTTGATTGACATACTTATCACTATCCACTATCCAGACCAATAACACCTTCTCAGTATGAACGACTTCGTTGATCCGGAAGGAACTTCCATGCCGGCCTCAAGTCCCAACGGCTTAGTGCCTATTGCAATAGTGGGCTTTGGCTTCAAGTTTCCCCAAGATATCACAAATGCTGAGAGCTTGTGGAAGCTATTGATGGAGCGTCGATCTACCATGACTGAGATTCCTCAGAATCGATGGAACATTGATGGTTTCTACAAAGAGCATGGCCATCGACCTGGTACCGTAAAGAACCGAGGTGGTCACTTTCTCGCGGATGATCCCGCCCGCTTCGACGCTCCTTTCTTCTCCGTCCAGCCCGCAGAAGCGGAATGTATGGACCCTCAACAACGCCTCTTGTTGGAGACGAGCTATCATGCTCTCGAGAACGGTGCGTTACTCCCTGCTTGCTGTTATAACTAGGGCTGATCTTTGCTTTTAGCTGGTATTCCTATGAAAGCAGCCATGGGCACCAGGACTTCAGTTCACGTTGGCTGTTTACTCCAAGAGTATAGCCAGATCTCTCAGCGTGATTCTCAGATGCCTGGTGACTACCGTATCGTCGGATCAAGTGGCTTGGCTATGTTGGCTAACCGACTAAGTTGGTTCTATGACTTCAGCGGCCCAAGCATGACGGTTGATACGGCTTGCTCAGGTGGGCTAGTCGCTTTTCACCTAGCATGTCAGGAGCTTTCAGCTGGGAGTGTAGATATGGTATGTCGTTTTTTCTATCTCCTGCACGATACCTCGAATGACTAACGACTATAGTCACTTGTCTGCGGTAACAACTTGTGCCTACTCCCAGACTCGACAGCACTCTTGAGTAGCCTCAGTATGATGTCTAAAGACAGTGTCTGTTATTCATTCGATGAGCGCGCATCGGGCTATGCTCGAGGTGAGGGCTTTGGTGTACTCATCCTCAAACGACTCGATACAGCCATTGCAGATGGAGACACCATTAGGGGTGTTGTGCGATCAACTGGCTGTGGACAAGATGGCAACACTCCCAGCATCACATCGCCCAGCCAATCTGCTCAAGAGCGACTCATTCGTGAGACATATGCGCGGGCAGGCCTTGATCTTGGTGATACTCGCTATTTCGAGGCGCATGGCACCGGTACTCCAGTGGGAGATCCTTGCGAAGCTGCAGCTATTAGCAACGTTTTCTCTTGTCGGACGCCTGAAGACCCGATCTTCGTGGGTGCCCTCAAAAGCAACATGGGTCATCCTGAAGGCGCTAGTGGAATCGCGGGTGTGATTAAGACGCTTCTTGTTCTAGAGAAGGGCATCATTCCACCGAATGTATATCCTGAGCGCATCAGCCCGGCTGTGGCGGCGGCTGGCCCCAACTTGAAGTTTCCGCTCGTACCGGCAACCTGGCCGACGGATGGTATTCGACGCGCGAGTGTGAACTCATTCGGATATGGAGGCACGAACGCCCACGTTGTTCTGGACGATGCGCTGAGCTTTCTTCGTGATCATGGTTTGTCCGGCCAACATTGCACTGAAGTGCTTGACGGTAGCAAAGGAGCAGCTGAACCAGTTACCTACGATGGCCTGGCGATCAATAGTGAGGACGGCAGCTATAGCACGGGTACTAACGCACATTCGCAATCCTTTGCAGACGATACGCCACCTGATATCATGGACGACTACGAAACCGCCCCAAAGCTGTTCGTACTATCTGCATTTGACGAGCGTGCCGTCCAGCGATCTATCTCCACTTTCGAAAAGTGGTTGTGCAATCATGCGAACGATGAGAATGATCACCGGATTCTCAATGATGTAGCGTAC